TGGTAAGTCTATGGCAGCGTTTCCTCCTTCGTTCTTACAGAAACTAGCCTTCAAATCAGGATTTATTTTTCGATCCAGGAAAATGGTAGAATCTCCTTTACATGATAATTGATTTTTTTTATACTCTTTAGCATGACTTTTCTGATCCTGTTTTTCTTTAATTTTCACACATCCAGTGGTAGAAATATAACACTCATGAACCTTTAACTCGTCGTTTAAAAATGTAATTTTTGTGAAGCATTCATCTTTGCATTTGCCCTGTGGGTTTTCTTCCTATTCAAGTAATGCTTTTCTACGGGATCAATTTGTCCATGACTTACGTCATCGTTAGACATTGATGTGCTGAATCCCCTGATTGTTATCACATTCCATTGTTCAGTCCCACGGCCTTCAAAAGCTCTAAGCATGCAATTTTGCTGCAGCTGTATAGGGTCTAGGTGGTTTGAGGTTAGCACTTTCACAATATGGGAGGTGTTTCTGTCTTCTTTTTGTTTAAATGGTCACACATAGGTCGGTCTTATACACTGGTTTGTTTTAGTATAATCTGCCGTCTAGCTCTGGAGATCCTAGCAAACAAACATGATAACAAAGATGTTTTTTTTATCTTGGTGCTAAATTGAACTATTCTTGAATTTTACATGTATTAAAATGGACATTTTTGAGTATCACCTATATTGATAGACTTTCCCTTCCGCCACCTTTCATATGATCTTGCCATCATGAGATGACTTCAACTTCTTCAACTGCCTGATCCAAGCAGAGGTACATTTTTCAATAGCCTTTTTTTTACATGCGTGATGAGTCGTGTCAAGCTGTCTTATTATTTTTTTGTCAGGATTATTTGACATTTCTTGATGGAAAAACTTACGCCTGAACAACGTTTACAAATCGTACAACTTTATTACAAAAATTCACGTTCTGTAAAGAATGTGTTTCGCGCGTTTCGCTCATCTTATGTCCAACATAATCGGGCTACTGCGCGTACTATTCGCGAAACCATATTGAGACCCAGAATTCATTATTGGATAATGTTCAGCCAAAAGGACTACGTCCAGTACGCAGTGAAGAAAATATAGCGCCCTTAGCTGAGAGTATACACGAAGACCAGTTCGGCACTGTTCGCAGCAACTCAGACTGACGTATGAAACGACTTGGTACATTTTTGGTCGATATCTTATATTGAAAGCGTACAAAACACAGTTTGTATGAGAACTGATGTCACTCGACCCTCTCAAGCAACATCGCTTCACTCTATGAGCTCTTGAAATTTTCCACGAAGATCCGAAGGTTTGGAACCAAATTTTGTTCAGCGATTAGGCTTATTTCTAGCTCAATTGGTATGCAAACAAGCAAAATTGCCGAGTTTTCGAACTGTAGTGATTCAAGAGCCGTCATATATAGTAGATTTAGAAAGTTTTTTTTTTACATTTCAACGTCTATTTTGGTACATACAAGTTTATTGCGCGTAGAAAGAGAATTACGTTCCGTCTGCTTTTGTTTGTAAGAACTCTTAACGATTGAAGTATTTAGTTTTCTTTTCGTACGGTGGCCGATAGTTCATGAATGTGGCGATTTAAGCCCAATATTTCTGTCTAAAAAGCTCATATGAATAAGAATTGCTTCCAGGTTCAGTGTGTTTTCAGTTTTCATCGTTCTTTCGCACATTCATCGGTATTTAGTTTAATAGGTCTTCTGAAGCTTTTTTTTATTTTTGCATGAGCGGAATGATATTTGTTTTTAATTTCTGAAAAAAGAAGCATTTTTACAGTTGTTCAGTTAGTAAATATTTGAGTTAAATATATAATATAGATTGTCTGATTGTTGCTGCGCTCGACTGCGCAGGTGTGCGTTCATCAACTCTGCGGCATTGGGAAGTGCATAAAAAATTAGTTTTCGTTTTGCAATCGGTCAGTGGATTTCATTCATATTCTCCAAAGTTTTTTATTAACTTATTTAGTTTTCATATATTTTTTTTTTATATCTCTAACTAGTCATGCCTCCATATATACATGTACAAACGAGTATGTGTGTAACGAAAACATATTCTCGTGTGAGTATATATTTATTTATTTTATTTATTACGTCTATATATCTCTTTACATAAATACATTCCATAGCACGTTTCAGGGCAATCGTGTGGAACAACAGACAAAACAGATTTTACAGATAACGGTATTTTATTATAGATGGTAGTTGAGCATGTTGCGAAAAGTGCTGAAACGAAACGCGAGCAGTTTGTTGCTAAGAGCTCTTAATATTTTATTAATTCCTTAGAACTTCCAACTCACTTGATTCAGTCGGTTCAAGACGGTTAGATAAACAGATTCTGGGCCAGATCAACTGTCCTTGGTTCACAATAGAAAAAATAGGTAGAGTTTGTTTGGGAAATAAAGTAAAATAAAATAAAAAATTTATTAGAAATCTTGACATTCATAAAATTAAGGACATTTTTGTCTAAAGAAACTTTTTATTAAATCAAAAATTTTTCTAATCAATTTGATTTTTCTTTTGTTTCCTTTTTTTTTTGAATCTAAGCAAAAAAGTGTTCTTCATTCTTTTTTTTCTATCAAAAAGCGTACAAACTTTCTTCCAGCGCCAATGAAACGGAAGTAAGAGGTGAATCGCCACTGTTGAAGGGGTAAGAGCTGTGTGTGCTGATCTTGAAGCTGTAAAGAACAACAACAAAGTCCAAGCCAATAGTAATTATTAAGACAGAAGTAAGTCAGAGAAAAAGCAGAGATTAATAATTGTGGGATGTTAAAACTGTTTTTCACATAATAAAATATCTACTCTTACACGTCTCTGTGTATACTCAAGTTAACATGTTTTTGTAAACATATTTACATGGCTTGGAACCTGCTTCGAGGGATGTGAAAGAACTAGAGTTCTTTCCTATTCATATAAAAAAAGCTAATATTTTTGTATGTATGTATGTATGTATGTACATATGTTCGTATATATATTCGTATGTGTAGAAGGTTTTATGTGAACTAAGTTTTTTATTTCTACTGCAAGCGAGAAGAGGTCAACAAATTATTCTACATACAAATGAAGAAACGTTAATGATCATTCGCGCATTGGGAACAATTAGTGGAGAGCGTCAATTTGAGTATCTGTAAGTTTGAGCGCAGCACTCATTGAAACAAACTGAAAACGGAAATGAGTCTGTTACAGTTGTTGGAGAAGCGAGACAACTATACCCATTATATGTGACAATACTTCGAGGGAATTACACCTGTGTTCCAACACGCTTGACTGCACACACACGATCAGGTGAAAAAGTGAAACGCGCGCTAACCAATTTGCAAGCGCTGACGAGAGCAAATTTTGGCTGCAAACGATGCAAACACCTATACACAAGAGCAGCGCGGCTATATTGTACGATCATCGCACTAATTTCCAGCACGAAAAGAGAGCAAGTAACTGTCAACGTCGAGCTGGTCGCAAAAGGTTACAAAAAGGCCGGGTGTACCGGGTATGGGCACAAGTCGCTTAACGAAATCCGAACTAAAAACATCGATCGATCGGTTTGTGCCAGCTCGGAACAAACAGTGCGCAGTGTTGCGCCAGCCGGTTGTTGTTAACATTATATTTTGTGACTTCTTCTAATATTGAGCAACAAAGGCGGAACGCAACTCCGTTTCTAAAATACATATATATGTACTAACATTCACCCGACGATCGTGCGCTGATCCGATTAACAGCTCAGTGAACGTACACTCGCGCTCCGGTACCGAAGCAGCGGCACAATAGACATTACCATAAAAACGTTGAGCGCGTGAGTGAGCGTTTTATCGTTATTACAACCGACATCTGTGAGTGAGCGCAGCGTAAGTGCGCCGTGGTTGGGCAGTTGGATTTGCTCGCTCGCTTACCTGCCGTATTGGCCACGTCTACTACGATCAGTTAAACGTCAGCTAGCAACGAGTGCGGTTGTTGGCGATCAAGCGTAGCGCAAGAATTTACTTTGAACTTGGTTGTTGGCTGATCTTCTGTACTGAACACACACCGAAAAAGCAAATATTGGTGGCCATCGCAGCAACTCTGCCAACTGTTGTTGCTATCTGTCTTCGTATTTATTGAATAGTGTTGCTAACCAGACTAAAAACAATTAGTGTGCCTAATAAATAAATTAAATCAAAAAGTGTTTGAAATGTTAAAGAACCAAATGAAATAAAGAAAGCAACAAAGAAAGACGCTAAACATAATGAAATAAGACTTTGTAGAAATATAAAACATTTACATACATACGTGTACATGCATACATATGTACCTAACACTCAGGTGCGAATTGGAAGCAGCAGACTATTAAAGCATTTGTCGAGAAGCCTTTTCGAACGACAAAAGAAATGTGAATGCCTGAGTTTGATTGCGCTGAAATGAAAGCAAACAACAACAACAACATGGAAAGCATTAATTTATTTACTTCACTACAAGTTTACTTACTTCACACTATTTGTCATACTGTTAAGGAAAACCTTAAGCAAACAACAACAACAACAACAACGACAATAACAGCAAAGTCAAATGATGTAAGAGGCGCACGGAGTCAACGGCGCTTTTAGTGGACCGGCAAATGAAGTGAGCTGGCGGCGGGCAGCAGTGAGCTGGCTGAATACAGAAAATCACTACCTTTGTTTTGTTTTTGTATTTGCTTAAAAATTAAAGGGCAAATAGATTAGCGTATAAACAGTTAGGTTCTACATAGAAGCAGGTTCAAGGCAGATATTTGAGCGTTTAGCGCTCACAAGGAGCAAGCATTAAGTTCCTTAAGAGCCCTTAAGTCATAAAAAGATTTAAGGTTTGAAATTCGCGTAAGAAATATTTTATTAAAAAATTTATTGTGATTCAAAAATGAAAAAAATTTACTTGAAAAATATTAAATAGAGCAAAAAAATAATTGTTTTTATTAAACTTTGATGTCAAATTAAAACTCTGCATAATTTTATTCAAATTGAATCTAGAAAAAATCTTTTCTGAAAATTTCATAACTTGCAAATTGCAAAAAAAAAAATGCTCAGCCATTAAATTACACTAACAATAAAAATTTGATGAATATACAATCAGATTAACATGGGCTTGTCAATTCAAGTGGCCATAAAACCGTCAACAGCGCTGCTGACGTTGGCACTTAAAGGAAATAAAAGAAATTAAAAAGCTGCAAAAATAGTAAAATGACAAAAAAGCCACCGAACTTTGAGCAACTCAATATACATACATACATATGTATGTATGTTATTGGCAAATTTTAACCAGAAAAAAGACTACAGAATAGCAAAATTTATATATTACTTACATATGCACATAATATGTGTGTATTTGTATGCTATTGGAAATACGAACTCATTAATTTTTGCAGAAAAAAATGTAATTTTTTCTTTTAATTTTTACTTCTTTTTACTTTTTTTCATAATTTTTTTTTTATTTATTTATGTCCTAAAAAGTTTGCTTCATACCAAGAACTGTCAATTGGCTCTTGTCAAAAGGTTGATAAAAAATTTGAGAAGCTGTACATATACAGCTCTTTTTTGGTAGCGTGTTTAGTTACTGTTGTTGCCTGCTGTCAGTTTTCGTTGATTGTCGTCCTTGACTGATGCTGAGAGTGTGAAACTTGAGCCCTCAAGCCCGTGATGTCGACGTTGCGCAGTTGGTTGTGGTGGTGAGTATTTTTTTTAATTTTTCTTTTTAATATTACATGAATTTCGGACGAAAGAGAATATCATATAGTACAGAAAAATTATTTAATTTGTTTTTAAATGCTGAAACAAAGCAATGTAGATGTTGCCAGATTTTTTTTTCAGTAAAAAAATAAAAATCTAAATAATTTTTGTAATATTACCTAAAATTTAATAATCACTGAGCCAAAGAATTTGGTGATATTAATTAATTCTTTAAAAAAATAATTTTATAAAATGATAAATGCTGAAAAAGTTAATGCTGGCAAGGAAAAACTAAAATTTTTTGAGACCAAAACTGCAATTTTGGTACCTTTATTTAAAAAATTTGATTTTGTTTGAAGATATTAAACAACTAAAAATTAAAAAACAGCTTTCTATACAGAAAAGGAACTTTTAAATTATTTTTTAATAAAATATATACACAAAGTAAATTTTTACATATATATTTGCAAATATACATAGGTATATAATTTTATACATTTAAAAAAAAAAAAATTTTCAATATTTTACCAACTTAATAACAGCAGCGGTGAATACCTCTTAGTGGCCTTGTGGCATTAATTTTAAATTCTATTAGCTCGTTGCTTTCAATAAATACATGCGTGCGGAAATTCGCGAAATATTAAATTAGGCAAAAAATGTTAATATAGTTAGATTTGTATAACAGGCTTAAAACACAATAAAATTTAAATAAATGAAGAAATAAAGAATAGGAAAATATGAAAATAAAGTAAAAACTGAGCTGAAAATAGGCTTAACAACAGCGCTAAACAATTAAAACTCAAGCACAGTGTGGCAAATCGAAAAGTAAAGCAGCTGAAGATAAAAAAAACGCTGAAATAAAATCATAAATATTAAAAGAGCTACAAAAAAGTTATAAAGAATTATGTGCGAGAAGCAGTATACATAAGAAATAAATAACAATTGAATAATTCCATCAATGCCGACGAAACAACAAGTACAAACAACAAGAAGGAGGCAACAAAATGCGTTTGTTGCTGCGCATGCGTGCGCGCCTTTTTTAACCTCACACGTACGCACACACGCATATACCTGTGCGCATGTGCTCGCTTATTTCTTTTGCTGCATCATTAAAAATAATTTGTAGCACAACATAATCACACTCGCACAGTTTTTTTCTTTCGTTTTTCCGTTTCGCCTTTGACCAGATAAACAAGTCAATAAACGATTAAAAACTGAGTCAAAGGCAGGATAGTATGAACTGGAGAAACAGACATACATATGAAGAAAACTAAGGTTTTGAAGACTGCATGCTCACGCGCTGTCGAAAATAATAGCTCACAAGGTCTTTATAAGAACAACAAAAAAAAAAACGTATTTGTGCCAAAGGAACTTACTGCTTTGTTGCTAACCTTTTTTGATATGAGTTTTTTTTTTTAGCACTTATGAGTTGAATAAATATATTATACGCTTTTACTGAGATGCGTAAGCGATGAAATGAATAAATAAAATTGTAGAAAAAACATTTTTTTATCGAAAAATTTCACATATTGACTGTAATGCTGGTTTCTTAAAGGCCCAGCGTGTAATTATCGTGGGTTTTGTGCGTACACACATATACAGATGTAAGCATGCATACAGGTACAAAAATAAATAAATAAATAAATAAAATAGTTACTATTGTTGTTGCTTACTTCAATTGTTGCTATTTGCTTTGCCGCTTATGATGAGATTTGTGATTTGATAAATGTGTTTGCATTCGAGTATTGGCTATTCGTCATTACCAACTGACAATGACATCATTAATTGTAGCAAATGCTGAAGGTAATTGGGGTCTGAAAAGAAAGGCCAATGTTGCCAGATTAAGAGAAAAAACCAAAAAGTTTATTAAAAGATATTCAAAAAAGAAAAATATTATGTAAAAGCATAAAAATTAAAAAACAAATATTAAAATTTTTCTTGCTCAAATATTTAGAAATTAAAAAAAATATTTTTTTTTTGTTTTTATAGATACTATTTTTTTTTTTGAAATTAATTGTTGTTTGAAACTTTTAAAACATGACAAAACTTAATTTTTAAAAAACACTCTTTAATTAGGTTTGTTAGAAAACTTTTTTATTTATATACATTTGCCAAGAACTTAAGACAGTATTTAAAAGCATAATATTTTTAGTCACTTATATTATTTTGAATCAAATTTTTGTAAAGATTTATTTGATCATAAAAAAAATAATCATAAAATAAGAATTGCTTGGTTTTTAGGTAAAAATACTGATAGTTTTTTAAAAACTGGTTTTTCGTAATATGGGGCTTCCCTATTTCTTAAAAAAAAAACACATTAATTGCTAAGGAAATTCAAATGTTTTTTTATTTAATGTGTATATAACTGAATTCGATGAACCCAAGTTTTTGAGCACTTTTTGCACTAAATTAAGTAGTATGCCCTGATATTCACGTAAAATATTGACTTTTAAAGCTTGAAGAGGTTCGTTATATTGCTAAAGACCAATGACTTCAAATAACCCCACAAGAAGTAGTTTAATGGTGTCAAATCCCCACTTTTCGGAGGCCATTCAATGGCACAATTTCTTGAAATAATCGAATCTCCAAACCTTTTTCGCCATAATTCGGTTGTTGCACGTGCTGTGTGAAACGTAGACCCGTCTTGTTGAAACCAGATGTTGTTATGATCAACTTTTTCCTATTGGAAAACCATTTATATACTTCATTGGTTTGAGTATTTCTTTAAATTAAAATTAAAAAAAAATGTCATAAATCTTTTCATTTTTTTTTATTATGCTTAAAACAGCTTTCTAATGCCTTCCTGATTGTTTACTACATTTAAATTTATCTCATAACTTAATATATAACTGCACCTAATACTGTGACTATTGCTTATCTCGAAACAATAAATACAAACCAAACAATTAAAATCAGTTAAAAATTGGTATTGTACTTCACACCCACACATATGCGGGCAAGCTGTTCGTCTTACCTCATTCCACGCTCTACACTCAAGCATACGAACATATCAATGCCAATTGTTGCCATAGGAAATTGTGTGAAAAATGATAAGATATTCATATCTTGAAAAGTTTTGTTTCGCTGCTTTTGATTGCAGTTGAGTAAACATGCAAACATATGTACATATGTCCGTTTGAATTTGTAAAAATGTATGTGTTTATGTACACGTGAAACAAGCATTTATAATTATTTTTATTTATGCATTTAACTTGCACTTGGCTTTTAACTTAATTGATTTTGTCGGAATTGCACCTAAAAGCAAAGTTGGCAAGAAGAGTTATATATATAGATATATAAATATATATATATATATATATATATATGTATAAGTGAATGTGTGAAAGCTCCACAAGCGCCAGTAAGTGGCGATTATTGCACTTGGGTTGAGGCCGACTTAGAACTATAAACACACACATATGTACATAAATAGGTGTATAAAATATAAATTTTATATACGCAGCGTACGTATGCATGTACATGTGTGTATAATGTAGGTATTTACAATATAAAACACCTCAACTATGTAGAGATGTTCTGTTTGTGGCGTCCACAGCGGACAGAGGCTGAAGTAGGTATGATTATGTACATAAGTCGGTATGTAGCTGTTGGTTGATGACTGAAGGCTGATGATGGCATCAGTGGTGTGTTGCTCACTTGGTGTCTGGTGGTTGGCAAAAATGCCATATCAATTACAAAATTCCATTTCAACTGGTTTTTGTATTTGCCGCCGTCTTAGCCACCAAAACACACACACACACACACACACACTTATGTTTGCATAAAAGCAAGCCAATGCTCAAGTACTTAATGCCGACTAACATAACATTGTGTTTTCTGCCTTTTGTCGGTCATAACTACATACATACATACACATGAGAAGTATGTTTACTGCTTTATTGCCTACTGATCTTTCCTACATACCATACATACATATATACGAATACATATGTATGGATTTCCTACCCTCGGTACAAAAGTGTGCACAGTGTTTGAGCGCAAAAATGTAGAGATTTTTGAAATTCTACGGTTTCGCATGGTACTGCGCCCTGCCTCCGCCAACCAGGCCAAGCTGCTTTGCTGCGCTGCACTGCCCTACCTTGACTTGACTTGGTGGCTTGGCTTGAGTCAGGCTACCAAAGCAGCGAGTTGAGCTTCAATTCGCTGAAATTAAGACTTGACGTTTGTTCTTGGCCTGAGATAATCCGAAATAACAGCGATCAAAGCAGAAAAACGTAAAAAAGCTAAAACAAATTACTATCTACGGCCGTTATCGAGACTTTATACCATTCGCGAAATTTAACTTTTTGCCTTTTCTTGGCGTAGAAATTAACATATCGCAAATAAAATTCTTATATGAAGTTCATTACTAACTAATCGGACCTTCCTGAGCACGAAATGCTTCCAAAAATATTTGTCCCTTGCAAAACGAGACTGCACGTATTCTACATAAACAAACCAGCTTAACTGAAAATACAGAGGTCACATGAAGCCAAATCAAGGCGCAGGATGAGTGGCTGGTGGTAAAAATTAAGAAACCATTTAGAGAGTCCGTGGAGCAGGCGAGCTCTCTCAATTGGATTTCCTGATCACATTTGTCATTTTCTCTGTCTCTCTGTTGTGTTCATGAAAGGTATAACCATGGCAAAGAACCGAAGTGCCGAAGTTTCAATGTGTGGCTTCGTAAAGTGTTTAGTGTCTGTACTCCTACTCGTACGTTGGCAGTCAGCTGCTTGACGCGGCCGCTTGTGTGTGCGTGTTGCAAGTGTTTTTGTTCTTTCATTTTAGACACACTGAACTCAGCACTTGAACTTTAGAATGGACTTTACTTTTATTACGGCCTTTAGTGCTGCTGAAATTGCTCAAATGCAAAAACAAAACCAAAAATAAGAAACAGACGCAGCGCCCGTTGTCGAAACAAACTTGAAATAGCCAACAGCAGCGAACACAAAGCAATCTGTAAGTACAACCTTCTAAAACAGCCAAGAGAGAGAGCAAC